TAGAAAGTTTCTATGTAGACGATTTAGTTAGTGGGGAAAGCACGGTAGATAAGGCATTTCAGAAATATGATAAGACTGTGAGTAGAATGGCACAAGGGGGATTCGGGCTAAGAAAGTGGTCAACTAACAGTAATCTATTGGAAAGTAAAATTAAGGTGCATGAGACAGACCAATGTAAGATAAAACACATTGTTGAGGATCATCAATCATATGCAAAACTATCCCTTGGAGTAACAGGATGTGAATCAAAATGCCATAAAGTGTTAGGGCAGGCATGGGATAACAAGAGCGATGAGTTTAAGTTTGAGATTGCGAGAGTGGGGGAAAGGGCAAAAACCTTATCATCTGCAAAGCGAAATCTACTGAGTGTTTTGGCAAGTTTATTTGATCCTCTCGGAATAGTTAGTCCAGTGATTGTACGTGCCAAAATATTGTTCCAAGAAGTATGTAAGGATAAAGTTGATTGGGATGAAAACTTCACTGAGGAGTTACTGCATAAGTGGGAGGGTTGGTACAGGGATTTGATAGAAACTAAGGAAATTACCATTCCTCGCTGTATATATCAATATCGTGCAGAAGATGTTTAATTTTGGAGTGTACCTTACATGGATTTGGCGATGCGGGCGAGAAGGCCTACTGTGCAGTTGTATATTTTGTGTATTGTACTAATGTAGGGGTTTATGTCCGCTTATTGACATCAAAGGCAATAGTAGCTCCCTTAAAAGCAACTAGTATTCCCAGGTTAGAGTTAATGTCAGCGAGGCTGTTAGCGCAGATTATGAAGTCAGTAAAAGCGTCACTTGAAAACCAAGTTAGGATAGATAGTACCAAGTTTTGGCTTGACAGCATGACAGCACTCTACTGGATAATGAATAGGGGTGAATGGAAACAATTTGTCCACCACCGAGTAAATGAGATCTTGAAGCTAAGGAACAAAGGGGATTGGGGGCATTGTCCCGGGGTTGAAAATCCTGCTGACATTGGGTCTACAGGTGTAATTGCTTCACAATTGAAAGATAACAAGCTATGGTGGGTGGGGCCAGATTGGCTAACTAAGTCAAAAGATGAGTGGCCAAAATTTGAAGCTACTGATAAGACAAAGACAGTTTTGGAAGAGGAACGAAAGTCTGTAGTTATGGTTGTAAAGGTGACAGAGCCAGCTAGTATAAGTAGAGTGATTGACTTGAATGATTATGGGACAGCAGAACGACTTTTTAGGGTAACAGCTTGGGTACTCAGGTTTGGGTTTAATGTACGAGCAAAAGCAAGGGGCATTGATAGGCGAAGTGGAGAGTTGACAGTGAATGAGTTAGTTGAGGCAGAGAATATATGGATTAAAGAGTCTCAGGCAGGGTTGAAAGTAGATAGAAAGTACACCCAACTGAGTAATAGTTTAGGTTTGATGGAAGAGGAAGGCATTCTGAGATGTAAAGGTAGATTACATAATTCTGAGTTAGAGTTCAATACCAAACACCCAATCATTATACCCAAGGACCACAGACTGACTGAATTGATTGTCCAGAAATGTCACAGTGAAGTGCATCATTGTGGTGTACGGGCAACCTTAGGAAGATTAAGGACAAAATATTGGGTTGTGAAAGGAAGACAAATGGTGAAGCGGATTTTAGGTAGATGCGTCACCTGTAAAAGATTAGAGGGAAAAGCATATAGTGTAGCACAGACGGCAGATTTGCCAGGATTTCGAGTTAGGGAAGCTGCACCCTTTTCTAATGTGGGAATAGATTTTGCAGGTCCATTGTTTGTAAAGTGTTGTGTGCAAAATGTCCAAGTAAGGTTTATATAGCATTGTTTTCTTGTTGTGTGACTAGAGCTATACATTTGGAGCTAGTTAGGGATTTATCTGCAGAGACATATTTTTGTGTTGTCTACGGAGATTTGCTGCTAGGAGAGGAATGCCAAGCCTTATAGTATCTGACAATGCCAAAACGTTTAAGGCAGCAGAAAGGGCAGTTAGACGGTTGTTTAACCAACCTAATGTTAAGGCGGAATTGCAAACCAAACGAGTAACATGGAGGTTTAATTTAGAAAGAGTGCCTTGGTGGGGAGGATTTTTTGAGAGAATGGTTCGGAGTGTTAAACGGTGTCTTAGAAAGGTTCTAGGTAATGCTAAATTGACAGTAGATGAACTTACCACAGTGCTTGTAGAGATAGAGGGTACATTAAATGCTAGACCATTAACAGATGAGTATGAAGAGTGTGAAGGAGAGGTTTTGACACCGTCACACCTAATTTATGGTAGAGCTATTAGCTTCATACCACAGAGGGAAGTAGTTAGAGAGGAACGTAGCTGTGGAGAAAGATTTAAGTATATTACGTTGAAATTACAACATTTCTGGAAGAGGTGGCAAAGTGAGTACCTCACAGGGTTGAGAGAATTTCATAAATGTAAGAGTCAAAATGCGAGAAACAGTGTGAAGAAGGGAGATGTAGTGACAGTGTATGGAGAGGGAGAGAAACGAGGTAATTGGAAATTAGCGAAAGCAGAAGAACTAATTATAGGAAAGGACAAGGAAATTAGAGGAGCCAAAGTAAGAGTTGCAGGGAAGGGTAGACCAGTTTACCTAAAAAGACCGGTCCAGAAACTTTACCCGTTAGAGATTCAAGCTCGACCGGGTGGGAAAGGGAAGAAAGGGAATTTCCCTTCAGCTGAGTCAGAAGGTTCCTTGCATGATTTGCATGAGCGTCCAAGACGAGCTGCTGCTGTTATTTCCAAAGCGAAGACAAGGGCGATGCTTGATTCATAGATGAATCCTTCATGAATCAAGGTGGGTGGGGTGATGTAAAGTTCCCAGCGCAGTCCCGCCAGTTTTCCGCACAGCAGTTGCTTCTGCTACTTAATGTACAAATATGTATATAGTATTGCTTAAAATACGTCATAGTGATTCATTGTAATTTAATACCAAAGTGAGTGAGGCAAATATGTAAATTCAGTTGTGATCAGATCGTAGCGAGACGAGGAAGTCTAAAATCGCGTTGTAAATAGATAATCTTTCCAATGAAATTAATCGATAGAATACAGTCCCCTGAATGTTATTGTGTGTGAACCAGTGTGCGCGGAGATCAAAGTGAAGATTCTGCAAAACTATCTATCTATCTATCTATCTATCTATCTATCTATATCTATCTATCTATCTATCTATATCTATCTATCTATCTATCTATCTATCTATCTCTATCTATCTATCTATCTATCTATCTATCTATATATATATATATATATATATATATATATATATATATATATATATATATATATATATATATATATATATATATATATATATATATTTATTATAATATATATATTGTAATTATGTAAAGATTTATGCTAATTTTAAATAGTTTAAAATAGGTATAAATAAGAACGTTTTAATACGGACAGGCAGTCTGATGATCGCCAATATAGGCGTGAAACTCGAGTAAATGAACTTAGTTTCTAATTTTTTAATGTTTTTAAATTAGTTGAATTTCACATTCCAATATATATATATATATATATATATATATATATATATATATATATATATATATATATATATATATATAGTACAATATATATATATATATATATATATATAGTACAATCTGCAGACATGCATGTTTCGGCGTTCAACGCCACGTCAGTGGTACACGTCTAGATACGTGAGACACTCCTATTTATACCCCATGAACTTGCTCTCACCAAGGCATGTGGTACAACACGGTGACTCAACGCATCCAGACATGCGCAGAGCGTAATGGGGCCATAGTGCTCAAACGATATATATATATATATATATATATTTATATATATATATATATATATATTTATATATATACATATATATTTATATATATATATATATATATATATATATATATATATATATATATATATATATATATATATATATATATATATATATATATATAACTACAGACGGTAGTTATGGTAGACATGCGCAGAGCGTAATGGGGCCATAGTGCTCAAACGATATATATATATATATATAAATATATATATATATATATATATATATATATATATATATATATATATTTATTATACACTCACGCGCACTTAACCAATCAGTAATCGTTGAGAGGGTCACGTATCGATGCAATATTTTACGATATTGGACAGGAACTTCTTCGACAGTAGCGAAGCGTGGCTTTTTTCATGGTTTTTCAACTTCTCAGAAGTTTTGTCAATTTCAAACATACGACTAGCGATATGGCAGACTAATGAAAAGAATTTGGGACATTAATACAGTTTTTTCTACCAGTTTTGTTCAAAAATATAAAAGCGCGGGAAAACTCGGTAATATTATTTTTGATGGAAATCAGTTTATTTGTGCACAATAATACACATACTTTATATATTTTATAAATTGATACTTCTGTATTTAAAAGTGTTCACGTTTCATCTATTTTTTGCAGGTTTGTACAAAAAGTTAAAAAAAACAATTATCGTGTTGCCATGACTGGCATGACGTGACAACGCGAGCCCCGAGCTTGCGTTCAGTGTTGGCACAATAACGAATACTTCGTGTTGAAACAATGCTTTGAAAATATAGGCGAGAGATCATTGCTTGCATGCATTTCTAGTTAAATGTTAATATTAGAGGATCAAGTGGTATAGAATATCAGATCAACTTGCTCATTAACGCAATTTGTACATTTGCGTCTGTCAACAGAACCTGCACCTGGCTCAGTCGTGCTATGGTAACGAACACCTCCACAGTAAATTACTTCACACATCGTGCGGGTTGTAATTTTATATAATGCGTACAGTATATTTGTAGTTTTATATAATGCGTACAGTATATATATGAAGACAATGTACAAAATATACAAAACGTGCTTAGATAAAAATAGTTATATCCATGCGTATATATAATACGTGTAAATCAAGTTAGCAACACCAAAATCCGTTCTGATACATCAGCGGTATTTCAACACTAACTATCTATAGCATGATACTGGAATTAGTATTGAATTTAAATTTTATACTATTCTAGCTAAGATACATGCAATTTCCATGTCACAAATTTTATCATTTTTGAGTGCCAGTTAATGGTTTAGTGCGACTGAATTGTTACTTACTTTTGTATAGCAAACGAAAGGGCATTACCACATGACCAAACTCCGTGCAAGAGACTCCTTGCAATTTGACAGGAACAAGCAGTAAGAACAGAAAAACATATTCTGGTATAGTGAAAGTTTTTTTAAGAAAACGTTTCATTTTTTCTTGAAAGGGAGAAAAATTAGCCAATTTGCATTCGTTATGTGCATCGTCTTCTCCAAACTGAACACTCAGGTAACAGGAGCTATGCCTGCGGAGTTACTATAGTGACACCTGCATAAATATCTTTGATAATCATATTCGTTAATGGAATATTAATTCAGCCTGTTAACGTCGTATTTTAAATTATTTCTATTTCATCCAGATCCAATTTAATTGTCCGATAAAGCAACGACTATTTGAAGTAATATAGTCATTTCGTTGTCACAAAACAGTATGGAATACAACGAACAACTCAGTTTTCAGTCTCCTCGTGGTAATAATTTATATATTCTTTTTATTTTAATTAATGAAACGATAAAGAATTTTCCAAGTTTGGCACGAAAACATGAAACATGCATTGGAAACTATATGAATGCGCCTGTTGGCCTAACATTATAGTTGTCACGCAATGCGAAAATTGATGTTCTTATGTAAAAGTAAAATAGCATTTAGGAAGCGCAAATATTACAAACCAGAATATGAGGTGGGGTTGATTGTATATTAACATGCTTAACTAATTCTTGATTACCTGGGGCCGGTGTTCGAAAGGCATTTAAATTAAGTCGCTATCGAAAATAGTTTTCGCAGAAAAACTTTAAATTTTCAGTGATCTCAAACCGTTGGATATGAACGTAAGTTCAAACTGCAATTGTCTCGAACATTTTTAGGAATATTATTATTAGTCCGTGATCGGTTGGTTTTTCGTGAAATTTGGTAAAACACAAAGACCTCAAGGCAATAGCACTTGTCCAAGGACTCGATGGTGCTTTTCAATGCTAACTTTGAAAACGAACATTCTTATTATAACAACTACAAAATATTCTGAAATACAGTACAGCTATTAACAAGAGCTGTCTCTTATTAATGGAAACACTCTCATTAAATCTAACAAACCAGAACTAAACAGCGGACTCAAAACTAGTAAAGAGTTAGCTCACACTCTTTGATCGCTAACAATTAAAGATATCGCTAAGAGATCTTATGCGGTAACTAAAGAAAAAATCATGAATGTCCATTAACAGTTAATTGTTACAATACACAAATTCCTGTTTACATTTAATTTCTTCCACAGGTCTGCTAAATTCGTCTACAAATTTCATCGTTCTGTGGCTACATACGGTATATTCGCAGGGACGCCGCTACCACTGGGTGTGGGGGTGCGTGTGTGTCCGGGGGTGGGGGATATAACACCCTGCAAGTTTGAAATTATTTTTCCTTTTTTACGTACAGCCATGCATTGGCTTAACCAAAATGATCTTTTTGAGATGTGAAACATATTAGTTGTGCAAGTGTTTTGGGATTCAACAGTTTCGCACTTTTAAGCGTGCGTTTATATAAGTAATTTTCGACGCACTCGACTTAAGCGTTGCATCTTTGTGTAATTGTTCTTTTAGAATATGATATTCGGCAAAAATCTTCACAAATGTTTCAGTCAGACACAGAATTATGCACTTGCCTATTATTAGGCAATATTCACATTGTTGGATTCGCACCAACGTTTCACCTCACGAGCATTCACGAATTTAATAAAATCAAACCTTTCCAATGTTGGTCAAAATGTTCAGCAAAACTTGGTCAAAATATCAGGACCTTCCCCCATGTTCACGACCTCGCGACGTCCCTGTATATTCCTGTTTTTGATCCTAAATGCATTACTTCCTATAAATAACTTAACAACATTGCTTGCATGTGCGTGTGAAGGGTGCCATGTGTGCGACTAATGGCTAGGGTTCGTGCTGTTGATATGTGGCTGCTGAATTTTACAGTTTTTAGATAACAATTCAAGTCTCGCTTCCAGTTAATATGTTCTTAGCCATGACTAATTAAGTAATTATATATATAACGTTTGATTCTAAATAAACAGCGAGACTTGAATTTATATTCATTGTGTCGATTTGCTTTAATTCCTTCTTCCCCTTACAATCCTGCAGCAAATACTTCAACTTCAATGATGTTTAACATTACAGAAGAAAATGATTGAATGACGAGATATCTTCCAGTCAATGGTGGTGAACAGGAAATTTCTTTAGTTTCTGCTGATGGTACTGAATGTCGATCTCCACATTTAGGGTTATTTCGCCCTTCGTTCTCCAAACTGTTTCCAATCTTGATTTCAAACTCCTCTAAGCCATTCCTTTCAGGAAAGTCTTTTCTGTTTGTGATAACAACACGAGCCACGGGTATTAAAATCTAGGCATAGTTTCAACAAATTGAAATGCGTATATTAACAGTGTAATTTATGCTGTAGCTTCTCAACAGATTTAAATCTAGCAGTTTCCACAGCACTGGACTTATTCCGTCAATATTTAAAAAGCTCTGACTACTTGACTGCGCAGAGAAGAGGGTACGGTGGACTCAGGGGTCAGATCGTATAATCAAAGTATCAATCCGCACTTGATTACGGTGATCTTACTATTAGATATTCCGGTATATCGGAAATTTCAAAGAACCCTTTAAAAACACTAATTGTAGCATTGTTGGAACCAGAAATAAATACTAAGACTTCCCATGTTTATGATATTGCACCATTGATGCCTTGTACCCAACACTTGATTGGCTTCTTGTTCAAGGCAGACACATTGCCAATGACTATTTGGAATATTTAATTTATTACTATACAGTTTCGTACCACGTACATAATGTGGTACAGAACCTAGTGCAAATAAAAACGGCTGTCGCCATTTAAAAAAGCTAGATTAACTTCAGATGTGCGTTCGGGAATCAAACTACCTTCCTTGCTAAAATTCTGGGTTAAGACACGGCCAAACTTAAAATCGGCTCAATAAATCGCAGAGGGTCAACGACCTTGGCAAGCGCATTGTCGTGAACAAACTTCCAACAAGTTTTAGACTTTTAGTAGGTCTTAAAAACTATAGCCGGTGTACAGCCGTTACTCTCGACGAAACGCGCGAGAGAACGTCTGTGAGTTGGATGCATAATCCTTGTTCAGGTCACGTGGATAGTTCCCAGATTTGGGGACCGGCCTCTGATTGGACAGTGCTTTATTTGAATAATTTATGACAAATGAAGCTATTTCATTGGTTGATTAATTGATAATTAGCATGCGTTTAAAATAACAACAGAAAAATTTTAAAATTCCAGATCAAGAATCAAGACTTCCTTCGGGGCATATAAAGGTTTGAAAGACTAGAAATACAATCTGAAAACGATTTCTTGATGAAGAGATTTGTTTTGAGTGCGAACAATGATGAACGATGATCATTGCCGGCAAGTCCGGTGTACCAGCCCAGTTCTTGGCGTACATACTATACTGTATATATGGCGTATATTTGTTTACAAAGACAAAGTATTAAACGTAAACACAACTGGCTATTCAAAAGGTGCATTTTAAAGTAATTAAAAGTTAACTGGCCAAGTAAGACGAAGTTAAACACATTACATCTAAAGAAAATGCTTTATCGCGAGGGGTCGGGACATATAAACAGATTGTCAATTTATTAAATTGTCAATTATGAATTTTCAATTTCCGTCCGATAGTTTGTTTTATATAATAACCTTAAAAATTCATGCGATTTCATTGGTCGAGAGCCATGTGATCTATTAGAGGACATACGCACGGAATTACGTCATAAGTTTTTAAAATGTCATGCAATTAAATCTATAAACATCAATAAATACCTTCGATAAATGTGCAAAAATAACTCACAAAAGCTTGTAAATCTCAACTCAGTCATTCAGCTGCGACTTCAAAATCCAATCCGGTCTTCGAAAACAAATACTATTTCGGTCATTTGTCCCTGTCGATGCCACATTTTCCAGCTGGTTTCTTCACTTCGTGCAACATAGGCAATGTTTTAGTGCTTTTGAATTGCCATAGTCGCTCAGAACAAAATAATTGCCTTTTTATCACATGTTTTTACTCCTTTAATGTTTTTTCTCTTGATAAAAATTGAGTTTTTCCTTATTTATTACCATCTAGCGCATTCTAAGCTTAGCCAATCAGAATTCAGCACGTGACTTAAGCGAGCCAATAGCATTTCGTTATTGTATAGATCATGTACGCGTGATATTTGCAAAATTTTGACGCCGTTTACCTGCTTAATTCAGCAATTTTTTCAATTTTATTATATAAAACAAATAGATTTCATTTTCCTGCTGTCTGTTCAGTTATAGATACATAGTACGACGTCACATATATCTGGTAAGAACAAAAAGTGACACGTCGGGTCAGCTGTATCAAATTTTGGGTCACGCGATGAATCCATATTTTCGAATTCGACCGCGTACATTAATGAAAAGCCTGGGAATGACTTAAGAGCGCGCTTGTGCTCATGGGATAGATGCATCGTCCACAACTAATTTCCAGAGGGAAAGTCTAGATTTCAACGTTTTGTTTGATACCAAACTTGTTATGGAAAATCCTAAAACATCCATTGCATATTTGGGTTGATTTATGAAGGTTAGCTACATGGTGAAAAATGGTTTAAGTTGCTCTACGAATGGGTATATTTCGCTCCAATAAAATTCAAAGTTGGATAAAATATCGTAAATACAAGATCAGCTGTGTGAGGATAAATACTCAGGTAAGAGACGTATGTTTTTACTTTTCCCAAATACTCTTTCGCTTGCGCAGATATGGGAAATATTTTCAGGACATTTTTCCCATTTATGGCCTAAATATATTTTTGCTACTATACAGAAGAAATGCCACCAGCACGAAACAAGTTTGCAGTTGGCCATTTCATGAGGACAAAAAAGCAACTTAAGAATTCTTTGGCCGAGGAAAAAGCCAAGCTATCGCTAGAAATAAAGAATAGTCAACAGCAGATTCGTCGACTTAAGATAAAGGTAGGATTTTTCACAACCATATGAATATAGAATATTATGTTACTTGTAATTCATCATCATTAATTTTTTTGACAGTCCATATTTAGACTACATGTATTTCTCTTGCCTAAAAATATGTTATTGCTTTCGGCATTGTTTTAATAGGGCCTAATAAAATTAAAAGCTTTCATTACTTAGGCTATAGCAGGTCTATTGGCAGTGACAGCATCATCTGCTTACACAATAATATGTGTATATTAATTCATGCATTTAATACAGCCAGATATACAAGGCAGCTCTAATATTTTAATTATATAAGGGCAAGTGGTCTTTTGAAGTTTTCAGCTTGAAAATATAGTATGATTTGGTCAAGGCTGTCTTTATGCGTCAGGCTTGCCCGGTCTTGACAGATTCTCAAGATTTCATATTGCTCTGACTTTGTCCTGGTTTCATGTAAATGGAACTGTTAATCCAAGCACAGTATCTAGTTAGCCGAGCTAAAATGTCCCATGCAAAATCACCAGCATGGCCATTTAAAGAAGGCTGACTAACAAGCCAACAGAAATATTTTTGAAATATTTCTGTCTTTTTTAGTGTCCTCGAAATGAATAAAATAGTTTCAAGGCTGTCCTCTGACTGAATATTTTTTTCATTAATGCGATTTTAATGTGTTGTTTTGTTCTTACATTATTTTCAGGCGACAGCAATTACAGAAACTAAACAAGATCTACAGTGTAAAGTACCTTGCAATGCTAACACAAAATCTAGCACAGCTAATAGTACGGTGTATGCTAAACCCTGATTTTGATTGAATAAAACAATCATAATTATTATTGAATACAACTAACGTTTAATCTGATCTTTACGACAGGTATGCGTACCAGGACCCCTACCACATTAGAAATTGACGAAATGGCACCTGTAACACTAAAGCGAAGAAGAACTGAAACATTTGATATGGCTTTAATGGTTCATGGTGGGACAAAAAGCAATCCAAAGCCAGCATTTGATAGTTTATATGACACATTGTCAAAAAGGTGCAAAACAAGTGCCTTAGGCAACTATGTTCTGAAAGATAGTAAAGTAGCAAATTATGTCATGAATAACAGCAATAAGAAGGATGTAACAACATTTGAAAACTCAAATGCTAACATTTTACGAAGCATTGCAACATATTACAATGCGGGAGTGATGGGAAAAAAAAGTATCAGGCTGTGAGGTTAGCAACTAGTATGAAGTCTGCTGATACCAAAAGAGGTGGAAACACTTCTATACAGTTTAAAGCCAATTGCCCTATTCCAAAGATACTTACATACAATAAGCTACGCAAGCAAATTAATGCAATAGATATAGGTAAAGTTTACTCAGTGGAAGAGCAATTTTCTGCTTACATTCAAGATGAAAATGTAAAGGGGTGCTATAGAGATCTTAGGGAATACTTACCTAGGCTAGCAAAGTTTTATCTCGGCATGCAAAAAACCCAGAAAGGTGCTCTGAAGTGGTTTGCAGAAACTGAGGGAACATTCTTAGTAGCTTTTGGGAGTGATGGGTGCCCTTTTGGGAAAACAGAGACTGCCTGTTCTTTTCTTGTTAGCTTCTTAAATACAGGCAAAAGAGTCGCGTCTAGTGGTGACAATTTTTTAGTGTTTGGAGGTAATGTCGAGGAGAGTTCGCCTGTTGTCAAAAAATATGCACAGTATGTGTATAAGCAAATTGCAGACATGAAGGGGAAAGTGTTTGAAATTTGTGGTTTACCCGTAACATTTCGTTTTGAAGAACTCCCAAACGACATCAAAATGTTAGCGATGCTGGCTGGTGAGCTTAGCAATTCTTCTACTTATTTTTCAACGTTTGCCAATGTTAGCACTAATGATTGTACCGACCTAGACGGCACTCTTAGCCTTGATCCTAATTCCAAATGGAAACCTTGGGTATTTGAGGAAAGGGTAAAGGTTGTGAAGAAGGTCGAGTCTCTTAAGTCTTCACTTGATAAAAAGGTCATGTCAGCACAAAATAAGAGAAACAAGATAACTCAATTTATTGCTCAGAATAAGAGTCGTCAAGAGTTCACCCCTCTTTTAGGCAAACTCATTGATAAAGCACATGTGGAGCCCCTACATTTAAAAAATAATGCTTGGGGTTATTTCTTTAAAGTGTTACTCAAAGAGGCAATAGCAAAATCTAAGATTTCGGTAGCATGTAAAACGTTTGCTGAACTACCACAAGATAGTTGCCTGGTAAAACTTGTTAATGTTTTGCAACACATACTTCATGTAGGACGTTTAGCTAAGAAAGTAAAAAAGTGGTTTGACGAAACCCAATGTAGGCAAAATGATTTGCAATATCGGTTCACAGGAAAAGAGTCCAGAGCATTCTGCCACCATTTTTCAACACTCTTATCCCTTTTAAAGTTACCTAGTGACAGTCGTAAACAGATACAGA